GATAATAGATAGATGATAGATGATAGATATAGATAGATAGATAGATAGATAGATGATAGATAGATAGATAGATGATAGATAGATAGATAGATAGATAGATAGATAGATAGATAGATAGATAGATGATAGACAGACAGACGGATGGATAGATAGGCAGGGAGGTAGGTAGGTGGGTGGGTGGATGGATGGATGGATGGACGGATGGATGGATGGATGGACGGATGGATAGATAGACAGACGGATAGATAGATGATTGATACATAGATAGATAGATACATAGATAGATAGACAGACAGATGGATAGGTAGGTAGGTAGACAGACAGACAGACAGACAGACAGGCAGATAAATGACAGGTATTTTAGTCCCGGTTTTCTATCAGGAACGCCATGAAAGGCAGCATTTGCTTCTCGGCCTCTCTCCCAGGTGACGGGACGCAGGAACCCTACCTTGAAGGGCTCGTCGAGTTCACGTCGACCAGCACAAATGAAGACAGAATTTCAACTCCAAGATAAACCTACCATTACTCTCCATCGGGGTGATGTTACCGCCCCCCCCACGTGGCATCGGGCACTTCCTGGCGACATTTTTGGTTCCTAAACTGGGGGGCAAAGGAGTGGGTGCTGCTGGCATCTAGCGGGCGGGGCCGCGGACTCTGCTGAACCCCCTACAACGCACAGAACAGCCCCCACGACAAGGCTCACCCAGCCACGCCAGCAGTGCCACGGCTCAGAAACCCTTTTCCAGAAGCGCAGGGAGCACGCTGCGTCCCAGGGCCCGTTTGGGTGAATTAGGCCTTTCGGGAACGCAGCGTGCCCCGGCCTGGGTGCTTTGGCCGCGGCTGCCTTTGAGCTGCGGTGGCCAAGGTGAGGGGCTGACAGACACGGACGGTCCCCGAAGCCTAGCGTAAGGACTCTCTGACCTTCCGCAGGGAGGGCGCTGACCGCCGCTCTACAGCGCAGGTCGTCACCGGAGAGACCAAAGGGCCCCTCTCCTCCGCTGGCCGGGGCGTGCGCACCGCGCGGCTCAAGGCGGCACAGCCCAGGGACGCGTCGGCGCCCGGGACCGAACGGCCACTGGGCCTGGGCAGCGGGTAAGAGGAGTGGCTCTGGAGGTTGGTAAGGTCTGCCCGAAAGAGAGTCCTAGAAAATCGTCCCCTGTAAATCTCACTGTGGAGCTCATTCGCTCGCCCGGATGTCCTTCCCACGTTCAATGGAACGGCCCTAAGCATGAGGCGTCCGCCTGGGCTCCCCGTGATACAATGTCCGTGTCTCCGCAACGGGCGGCCTCTGACTTCACAGTGAGACGTCGCACTGGGCCTTCCAAGGGGAAACCACCGGGACTCAAGAATAGCTGTCATTTATTGAGCGGAGCTACGTGCCAGGCACTGGGGGGCAAATACAAAAGTAAGGCCTTGAAATCGACCCTGGGATTAGCTGACGACCAACAGAAGCGCCACATAGGGCCCCCTGCCCAGCCTGAGTGCGGAGACCGTCCGAAGCGAGGGCCGGTGTACCTACTTCCTCTCTCGGGTCCTCAGAATCGGAGTGGTCGTCTGCCTCGTCACCGTCGTCTTCGAAATCCTCT